TATAAAAGAAAGGTTAAAACTTCTTTTTTTTTGGTCCCTCAATTATTCTACGGACCTCAATTGAGTCTGTCAACTCAAAAAATCCCTAATTCGGTCCCTATTATTTATCATTTTTACTCCAACTTGATCCTTCCATTAAAAATCTACCCACGTGTCCCGTTAAATAACAGAAGTATAATGATACGTCAAAATATTATGTCCATGTGGAATGACAGTGTAGCAAAAATAATGATTTGGCAATAAAAATTAAAAAATTCTCTTTCTCCTTCCTCTTTCCTCTTTCCTCTTCCTTTCCTTCTTCATCAATTAATTATTCATCTTCATCAATCAATTCTTCATCTTCATCAATCAATTTTTCTTCATCATCATCAAACAAAAAAACCCACAAAAACATAAATTTCTTTTTTTTATTTTTTGCCGAAAAACCTAGGCTTGGGTTCCAAGGAACCTAAGCATTGGGTTCGTCGAACCTAGTGTCGGGTTCCAAGGGACCTAGCACTTGGGTGGGTTCCTTGGAACTCAGGCATTGGGTTTGTCAAACCCAGGCGTGGGTTCCTTTAAACCTAGGACCCCAGGGGGAAAGAGAAAAGGAAAGAGAAAAGAAAAGAGAAAAGGAAAAAGAAGGAAAAAGGAAAAAAAAAGAGGATTTTTTAGTTTTTTTATCATATTATTATTTTTTTTCATGTCACCTTTTTTTACCATGTTGTCTTCCATGTGAACATAATATTTTGGCACATCATTATGTTTTTGTTAATTAACAGGACACGTGGATAGATTTTTAACGGAAGGATCAAGTTGGAGTAAAAATGGTAAACAATAGGGACCAAATCAGAGATTTTTTGAGTTGAGAGATTTAATAAAAAATAAATACAATAATTGAAGGACCAAAAAAATTTAACTTAAAAGAAACCAAAAAGCACCAAATTGATGCTTTTTGCGGTAACATCTCCGTTTCTTTTAATGAAATATTATTTTCTTCCTATTTTACCCTGTCTTCACAAAGTAAAGGTGCAAATAAAGATTTAAATTTTGTAATTTTCTTATTTTAAAGATGTAAACTTTGTGAGTTTTTATATAAGATGATTAACTTTCAATTTTTTTTCATTAAGAATGTCAATTTTGAGGTTTTCTTATTTTTTTTTTATTTTTTTATTTAAAGATTAATTGATGGAGATACTGACATGACAAACGAATTTTTTTTAACAGAATGCTGATATGTATAGACATAATTTTAATTTGTTGATGTGTTTGCTGATTGGATCAACAAATTAACTAAGAAAAAAACAAATCAGATTAGTGTGCCCATTTATCTTGGAAGATCATACGAATTCAACCTTTCCTTTTTATTTCACTAAATTCAGTAGATTAACAAATATGAGACTCCATTGGATTAACAATCCACACCCAAAATTTGCACTTCCTCTTCCCTTGAAATCCCTGAAATACCATTTTTCACGGACCATCAAATTGGCACAAAGAAAAAACAGGTAAGAGCAGGAACTTTTTGTCAAAAGCCAGAAGCGAAAAAGGGAGAAAAATCGAGAAAAATCCATTACAAACCCCAGATGCAAAAAGTCGAGAAAACAACCCACCAATGGAAAATAAAACATTTATTTTACCATTTATCAAAAAGAGGGCAGGCCATGTATCTTCTTCAAGGATTATTAGAGCTTGAAGACACCTTAATCGAAACCCAAACCCCATAGTCACAAACAGCTTTCGCCATAATAGTCAATCGGATCTACCACTCAAGTGTGCAAAGGATGAATTGGAGCTTGACATTTTTGTCTCTGAACCTATGAGAGCTATTTTTCGTTCATGATTTGAAACCAGATCTAAGATGAAAACAGAGAAGAAGAAGATGATTTGAAACCAAATCTAAGAAAGAAGAAGAAGAAGATTTGAAACCAGATCTAAGAAAGAAGAAGATGAAAACAGAGAAGCAGAAGATGATTTGAAACCAGATCTAAGAAAGAAGAAGAAGAAGAAGAATCTAAGATGAAAACAGAGAAGAAGAAGATGATTTGAAACCAGATCTAAGAAAGAAGAAGAAGAAGAAGAAGAAGAAGAAGAAGAAGAAGAGAGCAGCGATGTAGAAAATAAATACTCAAAAAGATCTGTTTTTCATTCGTGATTTGAGATGAAAAAGAAGAAGAAGAAGAAGAAGAAGAAGAAGAGAGCAGCGACA